TTGCTGAAGCAGTTTGGATAACAAAATTATTCAAGGAACTTAGAGTTGATGTAGTAACACCAGCCATCATTTATAGTGATAGTAAGTCAGCTATACAAATTGCTGCCAATCCAGTATTACATGAGAGAACTAAGCATATAGAACTGGATTGTCATTTCATAAGAGAGAAAATTCAGAATGGTCTAATTCAAACTGAATATCTGCATACCAAAGAGCAAGATGCAGATATACTAACTAAAGGTCTCAACAAGTTTCAACATGAATACTTATTATCCAAGTTTGGAGTATTGAATCTGTTCACTCCTACAAACTTGAGGGGGAGTATTAAAGATGGCATTACTTAGTTAGTTGAGGTTCATTATGTAATTAGTAGAAATTAGAGGAGTAGTTAGCAAATAGGTGGTTAAAGTAGTTACAAAATATTCTTCCCTTTCTTGTATAAATACCAACTAAACATGTTAGTTACAGGTACAAAAAGAGTTAACAATTTACAGAATACAAAGATGAGTTTCTTCTTCTTCTAATCTTCATCTATCTGCACATTGCAGATTACTCCATTTCTCAAAGCTTTCATTTACTACATCCATTATCTTCCTATTTATTGCTAGGAAGACTTCTTGTAGTATAAATAGTGATAGTCTTCATTTGGTTTTAGACACACACAATTCATAAGAGAAAACAAAGAGTGAAAGAGTTAGTCTAAAAGAGAGTTCTTATTAGTTGAAAGGAGGTGTTCTTTTTTGTGGAGCTTTGGACTCAACTCTTGTCCAGAGTTGTTAAGTTATACTTTGTGAAAGCTGTTGTATCCTGGAAGGGACAAGTCAAAGAGGACTACTGGTGGACCGGTGAAAACATTTGCTGCAGTGGGCTTGAATCTCCTTAAAGAGAGCGAGATATCCGCGCCTCAGCCTGAAGAGATTACTTTCTTCATTTTATTTTCAATTGTAATCTTGCAATTTTATTATCTTGTAATTTTTTTCACTATCAATTTAAAAATAAAATAGTAAAAGAGCTTTAGTTTCACAATGATCATCTAATTAAGTGTAGTACATAGTACAAACAAGAAAAAATGTATAATATATATAAATTATTTTTAACGTGATTTCAGTAATAACTATGATCGTTAATTTTGAGTGTGCATTAGTAAATACTTAAATTTGATAAAATTAAATAAATAGACACATTTCATCTTACATAACAATTTTGTATCATATGTGATGTCATACGTATACTATGTCATGTAGACCATGTGTGTCTATTTAGTTAATTTTATATAAATTCAACTATCTATTTATGCACACTCAATATTGAAGGGCATAATTATCTAATTAGACTAAATTAAGAATTACATTTATGTATTTTGAAGAAAAAAAAGTAATTCTACATAAACTCTAGCATGTACCCTCAAAACTTGGTTATGACAGCTATTTGTTGTGATAATATTGAAGTACTATAATAATTTAATTTATGTTAAACAATTGTAATGACATTACTTTTTTATAATAGTAGAGACATTATATTTATGAGATTAACTTATATCCATTGAAAATGGATAAAAGAAATTACATCATCAGCTTATTTTTAGAAATATTTTATTTTTTAAAATATATTACTTATTATTAATATTTAAATAATAATAATAATAAAAGTATTATATGATAACTTGAACTCTAAATTAATTGTATGAAATTTTCTTGGTTGCCAAAGATAAGAAAAATTTTTGCTGTCTTTTCTTGTACTCATTATTTTTACCTCATTTCCTATTAACTCCATGAAGCAATTTGAGACAATTATCAAATGGTAGTTTTTTACTTTTTTCCTTAAAAAAAATCTAGACTACTGATTTCATAAAAAAAATTATTCATAACTTATTAAGTCTTCTTTCTAACATGAAAAAGTTTTTGAATAGATAGCTTCCATTGCTTCAACTTTTCTCTTCTTAGTTCATTTTATCGACAATACCAAAATTAATTGATAATAAACTTTGATCCATGTACATTCATATGTATCTCAATTTATTTAAGTAATACTAAAAGTCGATAGTATAAATATATTTGAATGTTATTTTGAAAAACAATCTTAAATTTATAGAGCGTCTTTATAAAAAAAAAAAAAAAGAAGCTAGACGAATTATTAATCTTTAAATATGAAAATATGATAATTAAATTAAAAGAAATAAGTATTTCTAAAAAGGAGCTGATGATGTAATTTTTTTTGTCCACCATTAGTAGATATAAGTTAATCTCTATATTTATTATAGCGATTCACTATTTATGATATTTTGTTTTTGTTTTTTAAAAAAGAAGATGTTATTTATAAATAAAATAAAATAAAATTATGAAAAACGTCATTAAAGTTATGTATACAGTAAATTTCAAAAATAAATATCTAAAAGAAAAAAACATGTATTTAATGATGCCTATTAGTTTATAGTCATGTTATTCATGTTTACTTTTCCTTTATATTCAATACTCTTTATTTTTAGTTAAATTGGTTGGCAAATACCTTCATTCGTTTCAGTGTACAAAATTATTAAACAATTCTTTTACGCATTTTTAATTATAACGTCTGAACAAGATCTATACATTATATGATATCTCCTTATTGCAACAATAATAAAATTTTCAAACTAAAATTGTTACTTTAATGGAGTTAGATGTCATATATTCCCTATAAAAAGCCAAGGCAAGAGTTGCATGTTCACTTGCTCCTCCTTTCCATTCACGATCACGATTAGTTAAATTTTATTTAATCTACATTTTCTTCGCTTTATTAAAAATTAAATCACAACTTTTATCATGATAAAATTAGTGGAAAATTTAAAAATTCTAGGCTCATAAGAGAGTTCAAATGTTATTCACGCAATGTACGTAATAATAACCTGTTTTAAAATATTTATATTATATTATTTTATATTCCAGTAATTGTTTACCTTAAGTTTTGGTGCAATTTTTTCTGAACAGTTTGATATTATTTGACAGGTTATAATACGTAATTCACCATCTTTGAACCAGTTCCAACATATTATAGATTTATCTATTTTGAGTTACCATCACATACATAGAGTAAGCCTTTATATGCAATCATGTTTAAAGTAAACGTAACTTAATTATACTTCAAGCAACTTGATTCTGTAAACAATATTAGCACTAGTATTATTGGATTAAAAAAATAGTACTTCATCCTACTAGATTTATATGTTTTTTTTTAATAATTGAAAATTTTAATTAATTTTTAATGTTAAAATTAAATTAGATTAATTTAATATTTAAAAATTTAAAATATTTAAAAATTATACAAAAAATACTATAGATTGTAATTTTTTTGATAACAACAATAACATACACCAAATAATCTTTAGGATCTACGGAGGGTAGATCGTGTATGCAGACCTTATTGCCACCTTAGATGTAGAGAGATTGATTCTGATAAATCTACAACTCAAGAAAAAATAATCCAAAGCAGTCCAGAAAAAGAAGTAATAGGGGTATAAGAAATAACATATAGTAACATGAAATGATATAATAATCGAAGAACAAGACAACAAATAATTATAAAAATCGAAAGGCTAAAATCTATCGGAGTTGTATTATAGTAAATCAACACAATGCTACTTACTAACCTTGTATTATAAGTTATGTTTTCTGCAACTTCCTATCTAAAACCATATCTTCGATAAGTTGGATATGTATCATGTCATGTCTAATCACTTTTCCATAATACTTCTCTGATTTACCTCTATCTCTTCTAAAATCTTTCATAGTCATTCGCTCACACCTCCATATTAGGGCATTCAAACATCTCCTTTCACTTGCTCGAACCATCTCTTTCTCACTTCTACCATTTTGTCCTCTATCGAAGTCATTTCCACCTTATCTCGGATATCCTCATTTCCAATCTTATTTTTTTTAAAATATCCACACAACCATCACAACATTCTCAATTCTGAAACTATCAACCTCTAAATGTGACACTTCTTAACCAACTAGTTCTCTTAATGTTAATTAAAATTCGCATATTCTAAATTTCGAAAAACAAAAAAGGGTGCTGGAGGAAGTATACAAAATTTTGGAGGTAAAACATGAGATTATTTCACTACACATTTGGTTATACCTATAAATTAGTTCCAGAATGCATTCTGTACTAAAATAATGGGATTAATTAATAAGAAATGTCCTTATTAATTCCGTTCTAACGATCAATATTTTTAAAGGCGGGAGAGTAAGACGAGACATTTTATATAAAATAGAGTGAGAGGTAAGTTTCGAGACACGAGATGTAAGTTCCATGGATCCTACAGGCGTAGTCTCATGTATATTTAATTTTATAGTTTTATTACTAACAAAACAAACAAAATTAAACCTCTTAATGATTTAAAAAATAAATATTTATAAATAGCCTATAATATATAGAAATTATACTATGATATTTAATTGAGATCAGTATTAATAATCAATAAATGAAGAAAAATATATATTATAATTACTATTTGAGAAATTTTATTAGACCAATAATTAAAAAAATATGATTTCAAGCCAAAAAGTTTTACAAAATAAATCAAAAAAATGTCCGTGCCTACATTTTTACACTCAGGACATGCATTTTTATATTCGAGGCTTACGTCTCAAAATTTAAAACTTACGTCTTATAAATCTATGCTCCAAAATATTTTTTATACGCCCCGCTTCGAAACTCGACCCAATAACATTTTTGAAAACACCGCTAATAACCAAAGACTCCCAAACTTAATTTAGAATATTCCATTTTCAAACTAAATAATTGCATTATTATATTTCAGAGACTAAAATTTAGTGTGATATTCAAAATTAAATTTAGTCAACTGACCCAAGTGAAATATTCAAAATTACAATTTGAAATTAAATTTGAGTGTACATATTATGGATTGGTCAAGTAAAAAGTGATTGTAGTAATAAATTACTATTGAAAAAAAAGCAAATCACATCCAACTATTTATGGGTGATGGAAGAATGCTTGTTACCTACTTCTCCTCTTTAAAGCCTTTTATAAGTTCCCACTCCCACTCTACTTCCTCAACTCTCTCTTCCCCATTCAACCCAAGATAGATAGAGAGAGAGAGGGGAACTAGAGAGAGAAAGCAACAGGTAATAGCTATACATACACATCTACATGTATCTATCTATCTATCTAAGTTGTTATGAACAGTTTAAGCTTTTGTTGTATATAGGCAGAGTGGGTACCAACTACTGAAAGCTTGATTAATCTGTGATCGATCTGTTGTTGAACAATCAATGAGTATGGAGAAGCATAAATGTAAGCTCTGTTCAAGGATATTCACAAGTGGTAAAGCTATGGGTGGTCACATGAGGTCCCATTTGAGGACTCTCCCACTTCCACCAAAAACTCCGCCGCAGAAACAGGATTCCGGTGGAGGCGGAGGCCGGAGCGAGTCAACTCTGTCGCTCTATTCGTTGAAAGAAGAAGAAGATGGGGAGGAAATCGGGGAAGAGAAACATTTGGGTTATGGGTTAAGAGAGAATCCGAAGAAGAGTTCAAGGATTGTAGATCCTGAGTTTTTGGATGCTGGGTCAGTTGTACATGACAGGGATCAAAGTGAAACGGAGTCAACAAAGAAGCCAACTCGGAGGAGATCTAAGAGAACTCGAAGAATGTTTGTATCAGATGAAGCTGCTGTTGATGATCATCCAGAGGTGAAAAAAGAGAAATCAGCTGAATTTGAACCTGTAAGTTCGTTTTCCGATACTTCCCCTGAAGAAGACATTGCTGTTTGTCTAATGATGCTTTCTAAAGATGTCTGGAGAAATTCGAAATTTAGGGATCAAAATTCTAAGGAGAAGTACCAATGTGAGATTTGTAACAAAGTGTTGAAATCATCTCAAGCTTTAGGAAGTCACAAGACGATCCACAAGAAGAACAATTCTGAAGAACAGAACCAGGGTAAGTCGAGGGAATTGAGATTGAAGAATGTGGATGAGAAATTGCATGAATGTCCATTTTGTGGAAAAATATTTGGGTCAGGACAAGCACTTGGTGGACACAAAAGAACACATATATTGAGTTCATCGATCACTGCTTCTTCTTCATCAAAAGTTGGTGATAGCTTAATGGATTCAAGTTCTGCTAAATTCCCATTTGGGTTTATAGATCTTAACATGCCTGCTCCAATGGAAGATGAAGATTTTAGCCATTAGAAAAAGCAGAGCGAAGATTATGGGAGGTCAAAGTTGTCACTCTCATTTTCTTTTCTTGTTTTGTTTTTACTTTCCATTAGTATTAACTTTGTTCGAATGGGTTCTGCTTGATATAGAAAAAAAAATATTGAATTTTGATCCATTTTTAGCTCCTCTATTTTAGCGTTAGTTGTAAGTCACATTGCTTTGAAACCTTCGCAAGCAATCTGAAATCAGTTGTAAAAACAAACTGCTGACAGAGATTGGCCTTGGGGCCCTAGTCTCTGTCTATGCTGGCCACTGGGGCTGAGGTAGGTTGGGTGGGTGAGCACCGAGCAGGGGCGGAGCTAGTAGATAAGGCGAGAGGTTTATGCAAACCCTATCAAAATCATCTTTTATATATATACACATAGTACAATTTCTGACTCCGCTATAAGGAGGTGGGGATCCAACTATTGTAGGGGTAACATAAAGTGATTGAAATTTTGGTTTGCCTTTAATTTGATCCCGACTTACATAACAATGATAGAATTAATTTGCGTGTAACTCAACTTATTTCTCTAAATAATTTGGCATGGATTATGTGTTTTTATCAATTTCTTTTAGGAATGTAGAAATATTCATTTGAATATATGTGGTATGGTCATATGAGTGTTGCTTGTGAATTGTGATAAAGAAAATCAGTTTTGGTCTGTGAAAATACAGCAAATATACTTATGGTACTTTTGGTGTTAACAGCTGGGCCTTGTGCTCTTTGAGCTTCTTCTGTTTTTTGCTTCTTTTAATAATGTATTTTTTTAAAAAATTATATATATTGTGCAATTGGTTTTTTCCTCTCTCATCTTTGCCTTTATGGTTTAGTTAGTAGTAGTAGTTCTTCTCCATATGTGACTGACTACTAGAAACTACATCTAACTGACCACATTGCTTTTCTGTTTCTCACTACTGTTAACTTTTTGTATCAACATGATTTTTTCCATACTGTCATAATTGTAGCATCAATTGGTTAAAAAGCCTAAAGACAGTACATATATAGTATGAAAAAATAATTATATTATCAATATTGTTTAACTATTACTTCTATAACACATTGTTAGAAACATACAATACTGACATTGATGCTTAACAGACACAAAATAATACTCTAATTTTTTTAATCATAAATTATTATGTCATGACAAGTCTCTGTCTGGAAAACAATTTTGATACATAATAATTTCGATCGCACCTAAAGTTACATAATCACTTTGAAATATGTGTACTTGATGATTGAAAGTATGGAGTTTTGTATTAAAACTATTCTCCAGAAAAATAAAAGGAGAAGAATATCGATTAGAAATGGCTTTAATATTAATTATATTGATTAACTTTTAACTCAGGAGTGACGGATATTGACTGATTTTAATTACGAAGAATGAATTTGGACCTTTATCTTATATATATATATATATATATATATATTTGGACTTATTTCGAGTAAGTACAAAATATCAAAAATATTTTTTTACAACACCGGAGGTAAATTAGGCCATGTAGGTGAGAAATCGTTCCATTTTGCCTAAGCCTACTTGGAATGTGCGCAAAATCGTTATCTTTTTCTAGTTAATTAAGACCTATTGATCCTCAAATTTATTAGTATTGGGGATTGGGTTGTTACATGAGAATTCAAAAGAATTTATTTATTTTATTCAAATCATATATATGTATATTATAATATTTGATCGTTATAATAATTCATAATCTTTAAATTTTGATATTATTTTGAATGTCAACTATATACATTATACTCATAGTTTAAAAATATTTTACACTACCAAATGAATTCTGATTAAATTATAATAGAGAGTGATAGATGATTACCATATCAAAAATTTATTTGTAAAAATATGAAAAAACTCAAGATTTAATAATTAAAATAAAAACAAAAATACAAAATAAAGAGCAAAGCTAGTGGCAATGACATGCAATTGTTAAGTTAGTTGTCTGTCACAATTTTACTTATTAAAAATTACCATTCATAAATGAATGAATTGAATGGCGGATTTTTCTAGTGATTGACTTATCTCTTTATATATATATATATCTTCATGTGTTATGCAGTAATGTTATTAAAAAAATTATAAATTGTAATTTCTTTGATCATACTAGTTTAGTATATATATATATATATATATATAAAAATATTAATCAAAATTTAAATTGTCTAATTTTTAAAAAATATATAAAAAATATTTTAAAACGATGAGAATACTATTCGGTCAGAGAAAAAGGATTTTAAGTTTCTATTTGCTGTTATTCCTTTCTTTAATTGCATTTGCATGTGGTTGCTTGTTTAATGTACTAGTATTGTATTTCCTTAAATTAGGTCCCAAAGATTCTTTATTAGAAATTTGGAACCCATAAACCCCACAAGAAAAAAAGGATTTCTTTTATACAACTAAAGATTAAACAGTGTTGTTTAAGTAATGTGAGGTCAAAATCTCAATTTTTACCTTTTTCTGTTACACAAACTTTGTTCTAAAGCAAAGTCTCCAAATCAATCTCATGGAAAATTTTAGAAGTAAAGCATAAATAGTGTGATATTTCATCTCGTCGTGCCACTTAGATCCGGTCTAGTATAATTAAGTCAAGTAATTTTCAATAATCTTATAGATTCATGTTATCTGTTATATAATAATTTATGTTTGAAATCTATTTAAATTATATATTTATTCTAATAATAAAAACAACAAAATCATCAATTATTTATATTTTTAAAAGCTATCAAACAAAATAATTAAGTGTATCCAACCTACATTTTCAAGAAAAAAATAAGACCAGTGAGAATATGCGGACTTCCCAACTTTTTTACCTGCCAAACCTCGTACTTGTACTGAATTATTTAAATTAATACTAATTTTTAAAAACCCGACACTTTTGAAGAATCTGATTAAATATATATTTTTAATTATTTGAAAACCTCAAAATAATTTTTTTTTTTTTAAAAAAACCAAAATTGTATTACTATCATGTTCTTTGGTTAAATTTTTATTTATAACCCAATGGTGTTTTTAAGTTTGATCTATTTTGGAAATTGCTTCAGGATTTGGAAAAAGCAGTTGTGAGATTACGCTCGAAGAAGTTTGGCGGGTAAAAAAATCAGAAAGTTCGCTTATTCATGTTAATCTTAAAAATAATTTCTTGAAAATATTAATTTGATATATTTAGTTGCTTTATTTGATTGTTTTAAAAAAATAAAAAAGTTGACAACTTTGTTGTTTTTATTATTATAATGAGTATATAATTTAAATGGATCTCAACCATAAATTATTCTATAGTACACATGTCATAAATCTTTAAGAATATTGAATATTACTTGACCTAATATTACTTAACTGGATCTTTTATCCCATGAATTTAATAGAAAAGTTTTTGAATTTTTTTAGCTTTATAATCTTTTTTAGAGAAAGACGCCAAATACTGATGTTTGAATTTACTAATAAAGTCTTTGAACTTTTTTTTATCTTCTAAGAATTCTAGTGAAAACTTATTATCTTGTAAATATGAAGCATTTGCAGACATATTTATTATCTTGTAAATATGAATCATTTGCAGACATTTTATTTGCATACTAGCTACTAGGAAACTAGTACATAAAGGAATACATTCATATATCACTAATTAAGTGAATTATTAAAGTTTTAAATAATATTAAAAGAATTCGTTGACAAATCTCTCTTTTCTTTCTTATTTAGCATTTTCACCAACTTTAATGCAATAAGATTGATTTGATATACATTTCGCAAATTGTATAAAATTGTAGCCGAGTTGTTAAATATCCCATAATACGACGCTTCGATGGAATTTAAAACTGTGACAAGGTGATATTGAAAAATGACTAATGCATATTCCTATCACAATATCATGTCACTTAGGCATCGTTAAAACAAAATAAAAAATGTTGGTAACTTTTAACAATCTTGGCCTAAGCATGCCACAACTCAAATTGACTTTGAAACACATAAATAATAAGGGTGAGGTCACATTTATCCTTAGTTAGAGTATATAATTTCGATTTTTTAGCATAAAAAAATCTCGTATGTTACATTAAAGTATCTAAAAGTGTTGACTCAATTTCTTTTTATATTTTTATTCTCTCCTTCAAATGCATTTGAATACGTAATACATATTCAAGAAAAAAAAATTGATTCATTATTGAAATATTCAAAAATTAAATTCAAATCTAGAAAAATTGAACTAGGCAACCTTCAACCATGATATTCAAAGGAATAGAATCTCATATTCTCTTTCATATATTTTTTTTTTCATTCCAATTTTTTCTATTCCTTTCAATATGCCTTTCTAGAACAATGTGTTGCTATTAGTCTGTTTAATACATTAATATAAATTACCCTCGCGAGACATGTTCAACACAATTGTATACAAAAATTATTTTATATTCTTTTTAATAATTTATAAGATTGAAATTCTTGACCTCAAATTAATCTTATTCTTCCCACATCTAACAAAATAAAAATACAATTATTAGACTTAAAATCTTTGGCTGTAAACGTGTTGACTCTTAATTAGTTCAACTAAATATATGTAGTTCCTAAAGTTTGGCTAAAATTGAATTTTGTTCCAAAATTATGTTTTACTTGTTGGTGTCTGAGTGGTCCTCAAATCAACATTTTACAAAATATTCCATCTCGTGCAAGAATCATATGATGAAGTTGTAAGGGTGAATGTGGAAATAAAAAAGAAAAACAGGGAAAGTCAAAATAGCTAACAATGTTGTAAATTAGTTGGTGCAAGTTATTATTATTACAAGACTGATTAATTTCTTAGGATGTTCGTATTCATTAAAGAAATTTAAATTTGCAAATAAAGAGATTTTGTCTTCATACTTTTGTTTGAAAATAAAATAAATAATTTTATCTTTTTTTTTTCAACTTATATATTCCAAAAGGTTAAAATAACAAAATAATAAATATATTAGTAAAATCACTTAATTTTATAGAGATAGATAAATTGTTTTTGATAAAACCTTCAGCTCAAGTATAGTAATACTAAAATAGTAATAAAAAAAACATAACATCTAATAAGAAAAATATAGTAAAGTCTAAAAGAAATAATAATAACAATAACAAAATAGTGTAATAAGAATAATTTAGTAAACATACG